CAGTGAAAACAGGGAAGCCTCTGGGTGTAAGAAAGGGGTGGGGGGGCTGGGTGGCTCAGTCAGTTGAGTGTCTGTCTTCGGCTTGGTCATGATTCCAGGGTCCTGGGATCGAGCCCCACATCGGGCTCCCTGCTCGGTGGGAAGCTTGCTTTTCCCTCTTCTCCTGCTTGTGCTCTCTCTCCCTCTCTCTCTGACAAATAAATAAAATCTTAAAAAAAAAAAAAAAAGAGGTAGATGGGACTCTAGAAAAGAGACAAAAGAGGAAGATTAAGACTATAATCTTTGCCAGATTTTCTCCCCAAGAGCTATCCTTGGAAGGCCACAAATGAATCCCTGGTGGTGAACTGAGAAAACAGCCTCAGATTCAAGCTGTTCTTTTTACTTTTATTTTAGTGAGCATAGGGATTAAAAAAAAAAACTTGCCTCTAAACCACCCACATCCTCAATAGGTAAATTAACCTGCAGTAGGTATTTGCAGGTTTCTTGGCCAAGAGCAACACATGCAGATATGCAGGATGCTTACGTTCCACTACACCTGTTAGTGTGTTAGGGGAGAGGCAAGAGAGATGTTAAATATGAAGGGTACAGGCTCGCTGCCTAGAAAGAATTTATATTTTCGCATTTGCCTGGACTTCTGATACCCTTTTTTAACATAACACTTGAGTTCCCCTTTCTCTTTGCCCCATAAAATCATGGTTTCTTTACTGTAATTTTATCTCCAGAGTGCCATTCTCCATCTTATACATGTTATCCCAACTTTGGGTCTTTTTCCTTAGAATGGCCATTTTTGACCCAATTCCATATACTATCTCCCCCAACGGTTATCTTTTTGCCCCGAGGACCTTCACCCAGTCTTCTTTCCGTTTTGTTACGAATCAACTGTTATCTTTCAATCTAGAGACATTCAAGATAAGATATGGTATCTAAGGAAAGCTGAACAACACACAACAGATTTAGTTTTATAAGACACCATCATAAATGCCAAAAACTAGACAAAAATTGAGAGAAGCTAGTTTTCTAGCAACAAACAGTATTTAGTAAATTTGGGGGCTAAAATTTTGCATAAACTTTTGTTATTTTTAAGTAAAATCCTTTAATGATTTTGGGTTGTGAAAGTATTAACTGCTGAGAAATTAAAAACACCTAGGTCTGTATGACATTAAAAATAGATTATTTCCATCGCTAGCTATTGCCTGAGACCGACTACTCCAACTGGTTAGAGTTAAAAATAAAGTTTATTTGCAAGTCATCAGATCTTTCCTGGAAACATTATAGTCTACCTCAGTTCCCCGAAAGATACCCCATCAGACACCCCATCCTGAGCCAATGACCGTGTCCGCATGCGGCAGTCTGGCCGTCAGGCGACACGTACGTTTGTCCAAAGGGTGGAGATAAACAGGCCGGCAGAAGAACCGAAAGCTCTGTCAGCGCCACCACGAGTGAGACACCGGCCAGGCTGCAGGAGTCCCACGTCGGACTGCGAGAGTTTAATCCTCTTGGCTCCTTGCTACTCCTTTTCTCATAGGTGTTCACAGGAAAAATACACACACACACACACACATACACACACCAGACTGAGGCAACGCCAAAGCAGACGGCCGTGTTCCATGGGACTAGTGAGAGGAGGTGGTGGTATGCGTGCCACACAGAGGGGGAGGGTGGAGAAGGGGAGGCGTGTGCGTGGAGACAGACCTGGTGAAATGTGTTGCCAATGGGAAAATGACTGTTTTAACAATAACAGAGGTTACGGAAACTAACAACTTGATGTTGTTCCTCTGCTGTTGAATTATGAACTGAGAATCTCAGGGGACCCAGAGCTAAAAAGCTGGGAATACCAAGCACTGTGGGTCCATGTGGGTCAGCCTATTCTGGAACACACTGAAACTGGCTAATTTATGAGGACTTTAAAGCACCGTATTAGAAGAATGACCATTGTATAAGAGGGTAGGGGAAACTGCTTTGAGAATCTGACAGCTGAAAATGAACAACTCATTTCCCCTAATTCAGTCTTGGTTTCCTTGAGCCAAGTTTTCCTTTCTTTACCAGCCCCTTTGCAAATCAAATGGAAGGGCTGTTTGGAACTAACTCACTGGTCCTAAATATAACTGGAGCTAAACAAAAAGATCTTTTTCACCAGCACACAAATCTTCAAGGTAGCTGGGAAGCACCCCCAGCAGTGAGCTCCCGAAACCGAGGCCACAAACGCAATGAAGACAGGAGCCTGACTGTGGTGGCTGAGCAGGGCCTGAGCTCCACAAGGGCTCCTAAGGACCTCTGAGGCATGGCATCAAGGGGTTCCAAACTTAGAACCGTTAGGGTCCGTTGTTATTTCTACATCAAAACCACTGGAGAATAAAGCAGATCCGGAGAAACACTGGCTAAGGAAGCCTCACAAACCACATGAAACAGAACGCAAGAGGCTAGAGAATTCCTCAAGACAAGAGAGTATTCCTCAAGAAAGAAAGTACATATTTCAGCTGTGCAGAGGGAAAGCTGATTTGGTACCTCAACTTCCCAACCAAGTAGCCCCCTCACCTGTTACCTCAGTGGAGTGCTCAGCCCACGTCGGAGCAGCCAGACGAGCTCTCCCCAGTGAGGGTGCACCCGGGGGACGGCTCTCACTTTCCTGCCTGGCACTTGCTCGAACTGCCTCAATTCATGCAACAGAAGTAAATGAGCATTAAAAATTAAAGCCAATAAAATGAAAGGGACCCAGAGAAATCAATCCAGTCACGAGCCTCTCCTGCACATGGCTCTGTTCACAGTCCAAGATTGTTTTTAAAAGGCAAGAACAGGAAGAATCACCACCCGACCAATAGCAGTCAGACCAGCTATTTAACAGTGTTTTTTAAGCTGCAGGTCAGAGTGTAGCAGCTAACAGCATCAATTTAGTGGGTTGCTGCCATCAGTTTTAAAAAATGCAATCAAATAGAAAAGAGAAGACAATAGTGTGTTTTACAAAAAGTAAAAGTATTGTTTCATGAAATGTTATTTCTATGTGTGTAGGGACGCTTGGGTGGCTCAGTCAGTTGGGCATCTGTCTTTGGCTCAGATCATGATCCCAGGATCCTGGGATTGAGTCCTGCGTCAGGCTCTCTGCTCAGCGGGGAGTCTGCTTCTCCCTGTACCCCTCCCCTCTGCTTGTGTTTTCTCTCTCTCTCTCTCAAATAAATAAATAAAATCTTTAAAAAAATGTATATGTGTATATATGTACTAGGTTCTGATACAAAATGTTATTCCTTACAGTGAAATTCTTTATATATATGTGTATACGTGTATATATATATATGTATATGTATATACACATGTTTTTTTAAAAAAGGGCAGGACGTTCTTTTTTTTTTTAAGATTTTATTTATTTATTTGACAGAGAGACACAGCGAGAGAGGGAACACAAGCAGGGGGAGTGGGAGAGGGAGAAGCAGACTCCCCGGTGAGCAGGGAGCCCGATGTGGGGCTCAATCCCAGGACCTGAGCCGAAGGCAGACACTTAATGACTGAGCCACCCAGGTGCCCCCATATATATAAATATTTTTAAGTAATCTCTACACCCAATGTGGTGCTCAAAGTCACAACCCCATAATCAAGAGTAGCATGCTCTACCAATTGAGCCAGCCAGATAACCCCAGTGAATGAAATTCTAGAAAAGTCTGAAAGCCACTGAACCCCTGGAACCTGAAGGAACCAGATCGGGCCAGTGTATCACAGAAAGATTGTGTGTGGCTCAAATACTTATGAACTGTGAAGAAGTTCACGGGTCAACCAAGCAGCCTCAGTTAATAAACAAGGATTACTGTCAGAGCTGCTGTCAGAGTTATGCAAGAACCCTCTCAGCATCCTGGACCTAAGGAGTGTGAGCTCTTAGTCTAAAAACAGAGGAAAGCCACCAATGAAACTCTGCTCAGAGAAAATGCTGGCTTGTGTACATAGCCCCTCTAGCATTTATCAAGATAAAAGAAATCTAGTCTCTGGAAGGAAATGAGATGACGGTTTCTACTTCTAGAGTGTCAGAGGCCATGGCCACAACCAAAGGACTCATTCATTGACTGGGAGATCAGGCCTTTTAGAACAGGGGTAGGTGCAGAGGTTATAAGAAGAAACAAAACTTCCTAGTCCTGCTAAACTAGCCCTTCCTTCCTAGCACAGCTAATCAAGGTGATGGGACTCTCTGTTCTGAGCAGGTCTGCATTCTTTTCATCTTACCCACTCCTGACCCCTGACACAGTCACATTCTTTGCTGATCCCCACTGGGTCTAATCACATAGCCCAGTCCCAGCTTATAGAGCAGGACAGGAAGCCTAGCACCAGAGTTGAGTCCTTCCTAAGTGGAGAAATGAATACCAGATAGTCGGTATGATCTCTTGGAAGTCACCGCAAGAGCTGTGCTCTCCCTTAGGAGTTTACTTCAAGAGAGAAGCCAAGAAGATATCCTTCAGGATGACGGGATCCCCATATCTCTTTACACTGAGCCAGACCTGTCCTCAGGTTCTCCAGTTCCTTAGAAAGTAGGAGACATGATCTGTCCCACTTAGTAAATAATGGCTAGGTCTAAGGAAAAACTCACAAAATTCTTTACTCAATCTCAACTCGAGTAAGGGCATTAATGATCCATCATCTTATCATTCCTTTTAGAAAGGGATGGCTGGAGACAATTCTAGCCATGCCTTCCTGTTGAGAAATGAAAAAGGATTTCTGGCCCTGATCATAATTACTCTGTAAAAGCCTGTTGAGATGCAAGCAGCACATTCCTTCTATTGTAGAAAGGGAGATGAGGGGACAAGGAGATAAGCGAATTGCTCTGGGTCCTGCCACGTGGTAGCAGACTCTGGGATAGGCGCTGCTTGGGCCTTGTGTGTTTTTCAACTTCCTAGGTTATGTGCTCTATCAGCTGATGCTCAGAGCCAAGACTATATGTTGCCAAATCGCTCTGTGAGAAAGCTCAAATACAGGAAAAGCTGGTATATATGTATGCAATTGTTGTATAAATATGAGACCGGTACCTGTAAGAGAGCGTGGTGCATCGTCACCTCCAGTTCGGCTAAAACAGGGGCGGCGTCCTCACCGTCCTCTTGGACCTCCAGGTCCTCCTCAGGGATGGTCTCCCAGTTGCCCTGGTGAGCAACCAGCGTGTGCACTAGTTCGTACTGGCCGGGGAGCGCCAGGCTGAGCCGAGTCTGAGTCCCATAGGTGAAGCGGAGGCGCCGAAGCTTACAGTTCTCCTCACTGCCCAGCCTGGCGGTGGGAAGCACCTGCACCCCCAACAGCAGGTTCAGCAGCTGGCACTTGACATTACAATCCTGGCCAAGGATCAAGATGCAGGGAAGGCAGTCCACAACCTGCTGCAGGTACTTCTCTTCCTTAGGTGGGAAGGCAATGCAGCTCAGCTGGCCTGGTTGGGGAAGGGGAGGGTGGAGAAGGAGAAAGGAGTATAGGAGACAGTGAGGAGGGGTAGACAGAGACTTTCCCAGAGACCCAGTCAGGATGGCAGGGCCCTAGGGAAGCAATTTCTAGGAAGCTCTTGGTTGGACGAGACACCAGGAAAACATCTCAGCCGGAAAAGGCTCTTCAAAGATCGAACAGGAGTCCCCTTCCTGGCTTGTCCCCAGAGCAGGCGTCTCTACCTAGAAAGGTGGCAGGGACCTGATCCTTCCGCACTCCTTTTGCATGCAGTGCAGGGCCAGCCCAAGGAGTGCACTAGGACTCCACCACAATCTCGAGATCCTTAAATTGGCAGAGCCAGAGAAGACTACACAAACTAGGACATGAATCCAAGGAGAAACTGTACCCGAAGATGTCAAAATGAAAACCTTCATGACAGAAGACCTAATACTTGCACATAGAAGGCCCTTTTAAATGACTCTACCATCTGCAGTTTTAGCTTGTTACTTTCCTCATTTGTGACATATTTTATAACTAAATGTGTGAACTAATCTTTTCTGTGTGTGTGAGGGAGAGCTAATCTTTACATATGCATACATCAAAATAAAATGTTATTCAAGTTTGCCTTAGTTCTAGAATCTTTTCCAGTTCGTCCCTCTGATAGCTGGTGACAGCTTCCCAGCTGCCCCGTCCATTCTCATATAACTTCGGGTGCTCGGTGAAGATCAGTAACTCCTGATCAAGTCACATTCCTTCAGTTTACGGAGGACAAGGCATTGAGTAAGACAAAGGGAAGAACTGCCTGTTAGGAGAAAATCCGGGTAAATCTAGGAGGAATGTGATCTATCTCAGAAACATCCACTCAGGACAACCACGCTCATGTAAATGGCAAGCTTCCACAAATACATCAAGTATCGTTCAAGAGAGAACAAAAAGCTTCTTAAAGGGGGAGAAACCTCTGCCTGGGAAAAGGAACCAGAAATTCATTGACCTGAACCTCTCAGATTCTGAACACAATCATTCCCGACCTGCCTGCTCCTGTCTATGATTCAGGCAACCCCTGAGTTTGTTCAGAAAGGCACAGACCCGGGTTTTTAGGCTGGAAGAAGGCTGATCTCTGGGCCAAATACATCTTTATTGAAATTTTGTGTGGCACCAGCTGAAAAGTATTCACTTTATTTTTTTTTAAAGATTTTATTTATTTATTTGACAGACAGAGACACAGAGAGAGAGGGAACACAAGCAGGGGGAGTGGGAGCGGGAGAAGCAGGCTTCCCGCCGAGCAGGGAGCCCGATGCGGGGCTCGATCCCAGAACCCTGATCATGACCTAAGCCAAAGGCAGACGCTTAACAACTGAGCCACCCAGGCGCCCCTGAAAAGTATTCACTTTAGATTTAGTCACTTCACCGTGTGTGAGCTGTTAAGCCATTCGTAAGCTGTTTATTTCGTCCGTGTAAGGGAGGTCTGATTTAAGAGGCTCTTCTGCGGGCGCCTGGGTGGCTCAGTTGGTTAAGCGGCTGCCTTCGGCTCAGGTCATGATCCTGGAGTCCCGGGATCCAGTCCCGCATCGGGCTCCCTGCTCGGCAGGGAGTCTGCTTCTCCCTCTGACCCTCCTCCCTCTCATGCTGTTTCTCATTCTCTCTGTCTCAAATAAATAAATAAAATCTTTAAAAAAAAAAAAAAAAGAGGCTCTTCTGTTTCAGCTTCTATCTATCCTGTTACAAATCCTCAAACCCCCTTCCCTTCCACAAACGGCACCACCAAAAGGTTTCAAGAAGGTTTTGCTTTCGCCCAAACCCCTCCGTGCATATCATTAAGCCCTTCCTTCCGTGTTTGTCTGTAAGCCCAACACCTGGCGGGCGTGTGTACAGCGGGACACCAAGACAAGGAAATCGACTCTCCTGGGAAAGAGATGGGTTCCTCTGAAAAAGCAAGGAGTGGTAACAGAGTGCCTAACTGTGTGCAAGGTTTACCAAGCCCAAGCGTAACACACCAGACCACTGGTCCAATCTTTGACCCACGATCTAAAAGCAAGGGGACAGGGGTGCCTGGCTGGCTCAGTCGGTACAGCAGGCAACTCTTGATCTTGGGGTTGTGAGCTCAAACCCCACATTGAGTGTAAAGATTACTTCAAAATAAAATCTTTAAAATAAATAAAAGGAAGGGGATGTAGCCAATTGCTTGTATGTGCACTGAGCAAGTAGCATCGGGTTAGTCCCGAGTCCCTTTGTATCTCGTTCCCAACTCAACAACACTTACCACAGTCTATTCTGGTTATCTGTTTATAATGATCGAAAGCAAGAAGGACCATCAGATTTCTCTCTGTATCCTCAACACCTAACCCAGTGACTGACAATTAGCAAGGACTCAAGTTACGCGCTTGTTTTCTCTGTGTAAGAATCCATTTACTGTGGAGAATTATCTACCGAAAGCTGTTAAGTCGCTCCACCAGTACTCAGGAAAGTCCAGGGGCAACCGTCGTTCCTAAAAACCTTCATCTCAACGCAGAGGGTGGATGTGGACAACAGAAGAGGACCTCCCCCTTCACCGCGCAGAAATGAACTACAATGGTGTCAGCCTGAGCTGTGAGAAGGATAGATTCACCAGCTGGAATCACTCTCAGCCATACTTTCCATCCCTTCCTCTTTTCCCCGTGCTGCTCAGATGCTCAGATAGGCTCCAGGTGTAAGCCCATGCTGACGGCCTCCATAACTCCTACCACAAAAGTTGACACATGATAAAAAAAGAAACCTAAATGAGCGTGGAAAGTGGGTAACAGAGAACTAAAACCAACTCATCATTTTTCAGGACCAGAGGGCGAGATCACAAAACCTCTGAGACAAAGTGTCAACTATAGGAGAGCCAGTAAAACATGCCGCCTCTGCCAAAACCACAACAGACACACCCCATTAATCATCTGACCCAAACGATCACCCTCCCCTCCACCTCTGTAGTGACAAAAACAGCCACTACAAATAAACCAGCTAGGCACAAACCACCATAGACCAGTGCAATGGGAGAGGGGGCTGTGTTTTGTTTCCACGCACTGTCCTGCCGGGGTTCTCCGGGCAATTAGTGGACTGCATAAAATCTTCAATATGAGTGTCGCCATCTGTTTTTCAATATGTCACTATTCAAGTCCTTCACTTCTGCCACTAATCTTGAGCTTTTCCACTGATCTCCGACGTGGGCCTACCAGATTTGAACAACGGCACGGACGGGACAGAAACAAAGTCAACACTAGATCGGTTCCCTCCCCACCTCTCCAGTGCAAGGGGTCCAGGGAGGGAAGAGTGCAGCAAGCAAGAGGAAAAGCAGAGGGAGGAGGGCAGATTGTGAATCCCAGGCTCCACTGCTCACTAGCTCTGTGACTTTGGCAATTCACTTGAGTTTCCTCAGCCTTGGATTTCTCATCTGTGAACTCAGGGAAGTGCATGACATCATCGTTAACATCTTTCCAGTTCTAAAATTCCAGGACGCCATCAGGTTTTAACTGGTGCAAGACGAACAGTTGAGGCGGATGAGTGGTTGGGCTGGTTGTTTTTATGTTAAATTATCTGTGAATTTAATCATGCAAGCTCTCCCTGGACTACTATAACAGCAGATCAAAAAGCTGACTGAACTAGCCAGGGGCTCCAAGGACCTAGAGAGTGCAGTCTCAGCAGCTCTCTAAAGAAGAGATTCCAAACTGTGGCCTGACAGTAGGAGGGAGAAAGAAGACCTGCTTCAGAGCGTGAGCAGCTGCCTCGCTGACAATTTAAGGACTTCCGAGTTAATCAGGTTTTCTTTTGTAATTAATATAACAGCATCTGCATCTGGGGCTGCCAGAAGGGACCAGCAGGGCTTCTCAGCTGGAGCACAATAACCCTGCCAACACTAGCTGCAGGAAAATGCAACTCAAATTGTCTTAAGTGCAAGCCAAGGCTCTTATTTATTTATTTTTCTGGATGCTTCTTAAATACAGATCATCTTGATTAGGGTTACTTAGTTCTAAACAAAGGTTTCCAACTAGAAGGGGGAGGAGAAAAGCATCTACAGTAGCAACCCATTTTGTTTATTTGTTTTCCATCACAAAGAGGAGCAAAATATACCACCCCAAAATAAGCCTCTTTAGCATGCTATTTTAAGCTAGTTATTTTTAAATAACAGCAGACACAGGTGAAGCTCTACAAACTGAGCACAAGTTACCCTTTTATAAGAAACACTGACACTTACAGAGGTACAAGGGAAATCTCCATTTGCAAGGGCGTCTCCCCCTCTCTGTACCAGGAAGGGAAAGATGAGTCTAAATCTCTAGAAACCCTTATCTTAATGCATAACATTTACCTTTGTTCACAGTGCTCCTCCTGGTAACCTCCCATAACTGACTCCCCATCCCCAACAACTTTGTCTCTAGCTGGAGATGATGTTTAAGGTGGTGGCATGGACCTTTTTGGAGAGTTCTTCCTGGAGGAAAAACACGCATATAGGGGGTATACACATTATTAAACTTGTTTGTTTTTCTCCCATTAATGTGTCTTTTTATCACAGGGGTGTCTTGGCCAAGAACCTAGAAGGGCAAAGGAAAAAGTTATTTTCCTCCCCACAGTTACATTTACTAAGCTCTTTCTAAGTACATCTCTTTATTTGCCTCATCTCATTTAATGCTCACAATTCTACCAGACAAGGACTATTATTATCCCCATTTACAGATGAGGAACCAGCAGCTTGAAAAACAAAACAAAACAGAGCCCACGTTTCTCCATTTATCGAAGCAGATAAGAGATGGAACACAGGACAGTGCAGGAGCTAGACCTAGGTCTCAGGGGGCCAGCTCAATACCTGGTGGTAAACAGGGCCAGTGAAGAGCCACAGAATGTGTCATCCGAAAGGGTATTTTGAGCTCAAGGGACTTGACACACAGCACCATAAGAAGGGCATTCTGACCTCCTCCCCTTTTTCTTCCTGAAAGCAGGAGATAAAACCCCCATCTGGATGATGAACTCCCTATACCAGAAGTAAAGCAACATTCTTATCACCAGAGACCTGGAGTCGAGGCCAAGAAAAATCAGTACAAATAAGCCTTGTTACTCTAACCCTTATCTTCCTAGTCGCTTTTCCACCAGGAACTGCCCTAGCCCCTCTATCTTGTCACATTTTCATAACTTACTTCTCTTTGTCCAATTCAGTATATAAATGTTCAGCTCTGCTTCTTTGGGTCTTCATCTCTCGTGGCGACTCCATGTACATGTAAAACGTAATAAAATGTGTATGCTTTTCTCTTGTGTACCCGCTTATATCAGTTTAATTCTTAGGCCCGGCTGGAGACTCCAGAAGGACAGAAGAGAAATTTTTCCTCCCCTGCACCCACTACCACATTTTTCCCAATTTGGAGCCAAACACAATTTGGTGATTGCAGGACCCCAATTTATTATTTTTTTTTAAGATTTATTTATTTGAGAGAGCTCAAGCAGAGCGAGGGGGAAAGAATCCTCAGGTGGGCTCCATACCCCAGGAACCCAATTTAAAGCAGACTGACAGAGTCTCTATGAAAACTCTGTCAAAAACTCTCTCAAAATCATGAGGAATAAATAAAGCCTGGGGGAAAAAAACACATTAGTACCACTAGCTGGTGCACATTTTTAAAGAGAGTTGTTATTCTGCTCAAGATCTCTAGAGTCCCTTTCTAAAAGAAAAGGTTTCGGGGGGGGGGTGCCTGGGTGGCTCAATCAGTTGAGCATCCAACTCTTGATTTTGGCTCAGGTCATGATCTCAGGATTGTGGGATCGAGCCCCATGTTGGGCTCCATGCTCAGCACAGGGTCTGCCTGAGATTCTCCCTCTCCCCTGCCCCTCCCCCCACCCTCACATGCACACTCTAAAATAATAAATAAATCTTAAAAAAAATAAAAATAAATTTTCAGAGAAATTTTTCATGCTCCTCTTATCAGCTTGTATTATCCTTTGCATTTGAGGTTAAGACTATTACAAAAAAGGGCGCCTGGGTGGCTCAGTTGGTTAAGCGACTGCCTTCGGCTCAGGTCATGATCCTGGAGTCCCTGGATCGAGTCCCGCATCGGGCTCCCTGCTCGG